TGTGCAAATGTCAAGGAGAAACGCCGAACCAGTAAATTATCATACCATTATGTTCCCCTTTACGAATAGTGTCATTACCAAAGTAAACATGTATACTATGTTGACTGATTGAAATTGGAGAGAGCATGAACGTTAATTGTGTGTCAAAGCAATTATTATTATTAGTTTACCTTTATGTTTACGATAGACAGGAATAATTTTCCATGCAAGTCTAATCACTACAGTAACTGGTATTTAAAAAACGCTATATTAGTGATGATATGAGTACCCATTCTTCCAGGAAACGATCACTAGAAGAAGCTATACATCTTTTCTTTATGGAAATCCCCCTCCAAAGACAAAGCTGCGGGTGGGTAGTTCGTGATAATTATTAGCACGATACATGTAATTCATGTGTGTGTGTGTCAAAAATGACTTAGAACGGAAATGGAATACTACTATAGACTCTAAATTTTCAAAATACAATTTACAAATTAATTTTATTGTGTTGTATTACATCGAATACTGGTACATGTATATCTTTTTTTAGGTGCAGCACTGAAACCGTAAAAACCGATATTATTTACCTTCCAGAGGTAAGGATCCAAGTGTTTGCTTTGCATGGATGACTCCAGGTTATCAAAAAAGGGGCAACATTCTATCCTGCACGTTTGGTTTGTACCCAAAAATAGATATGAAATATGTGACACTCGTTGGACCTCACAGTTTGTTATTTCCCTTTTTTTCTGGCGTGTATGGGACTAGATAAACAGTTTGTCATATACTTGTTCTATGGCCAGTAATTTATTAAAAGAGCAGAGCCCCTTGAATTTGACATTAAAAAGCAACATGAACAACATCATGGATCACAAAGTTTTCCCCGACTTTACTCAAGTACTTTCAGTCATGAGGGGGAATGTCATGGGGGGGGGGGGGGGAGTCATAATTTCATGGGGGAGTCAGATTTTCATTATGAAATTTTTGACTGGGGGAATCAGATTTTCATGTTACACCGGTATTCAGTAGACACAGTTTTCCTTAATTTGCTAGTTTCCCTCAAGCCACAGCCTCTAGTTTTGGTTTATTCCTCAATCTTTGATCCGCACGTGTTACCACACTGCCGTTCCATTTGAAGGTTGTGGACAGGGGTCTCATCCATGTTTTCACACTGATCAAACACAGGACATTCAACTGGATATTCACCAAATCCATAGTATTTTCCGCGTTGCATAGCCAGAACCTTTGCCATTTCTGGTAAATATCTTCTTTGTCAAAGCTTATAATGCACTCATTCAGATGTGCACTAGCACATCGTTTCACACTCTCAGCTACATGTAAGCCATAGTTATCTTTCACTTCCTGGAATAATTCTTGGTTGAAACAGGAAAAGTCAGGAGCATCTAGCTGAAAGAAATTCTCATTTACCTCATTTCTACTCAGCTCTAGATGTAATGATTGAAACTTTTCTTTCAGTTTGCTGTGTGTTGCACCCCTGGATATTGTTATGGCATGAAACTATTTAATTGCTACAACAGCAGCAACTATTCTGATATATTCCAATGCCAGAGCATCTCTTACAAGACAAGCTAGATGCCATCATTGTCTAGCTATTTATTCAGTAATACAGTATAGATACCCTAAAAAGATAATGAAATCATGAGAACTCTAAAAAGAAAAATGTCATCAAAACTATGAATAATGAATGGCCATGATGATGTTATTGATATAAGGTGTCAATGCCGCCATGATTTTAAGTATTTAGCAATCTTTCAAATAAACTTTTTTCACAAATTTCTTAAAAACCAAATAAAAAACCCATCTATTTGGCTTTGGTGAGTTTGCAATAACTTGTCAGGCCTATATAACTTTCATTCATGTTGTAGGAAGACGGTCCCGAAACAGTAGAAAATCTTGAAAATCGCAATAAAATGCTAAAAATCGCGTAATTATAAAACGCAAGTAGCAGCTGAGTTATCAATGATCTTTCAAAAAGAACATTTGAAATATTGTTTTTAGGTGTGTAAGAAACTTTTTAGCTGGTTTTGACATATTTTTGGAATTATGGACCCCCCCCCCCCCACACACACACACAAAAGGAAGCTAGTCTAGAAGAAAGCCTAGTTTGAACACTGACCCAAAAAGCCATTTGCTGTTTTACAATTTTTTGTTGCAGATTTGTAGGAATTTGCTGCAAACCCAATGACCCAAACTAATATTGCTGCAATTAATATTTCTGCAAACTTTTATGTTTGCTAAGGGTGATCACCCTGTTTGATGTCCTATTAAGAATTACTGACCCTAAATGTGCTTTGTCTCAGATATTGGTTATCTTGCTGAACTGGATACATGGAAGATCATGTGCAACGGGACATTTTTCATTCCCACTGGATAACCTGTCATTTCAACAATACATGCCAAATTTAGGTGAGAAATAGTTTAATCTTTAAAAAAATCTTGCTGTTGAGAGTACAAGATCTACGCTAGAAACATGTATAAGGTATTTTATACTTTACCTTTTGTTCTCATAGGCAATTAATATGCTTTTTAAGATCTGTTCCCAGATTTACCGGACAGAAATATTTTAATATTAAAATATATAAAATAAGATGTTTATGAATTACAAACAATTTGCAATGCTTTGCCGTGGCGGGTTTAATCACTTTGAATCCTTCGCTAGCAAATATAGTATATCCAGGAAGCAATATATTTGCCATTCTAGCTGTTAAATCAAGCAAATTCATTGGGAATAAAAATGTATTTTAAAAATATTGGTATATGTTTTCACGTTGAGCTACGACTGATGTGCACATTTTAGAATATTCACCGCAATTATCAAATGTTTCACTCTGCTTCTTCATCTTCAGGCCCACAGGACAACATTACAACTTACGATTTAGTTGCTGTTGTTGAACACAGCGGCACACCAAAAAGTATGTTATTTACCGTACATTCAGTTATAGTTAACATGCATGCTTTTTTAAACCCAAAAGATTCATTCGTATATTTTTATTTTACAATCATTAAACACTCATTTTAAATTTGTCATGTCCCATTCCAAAACCGTTATGCACCAGTCGCGGAATTAGAGGGGGGAGATGGGGGTCCTGAACCCCCCTTCGGTTTCTGAAAAAAAAAACACACTAATATTCCCCACTTGGAATTAGAATTTTGACTAGCTGAATCCTAATTCTAAACCGTACCAAATGGCACCGTTCACCCTGTAAAATACCAACATTTTTGGGGCACTTCATCGGGCCTCGAACCCGATGCCAACCTTTTTTTTTTTTTTGGGGGGGGGGGGAGTTTGGCTTTGCATCGTAATAGTAATAGTAATTATAATATCAAAAATATATTTTAATAACTAAAGGATATTGTGTTTTTTATCACTATTTTTCTTCTTCCATCACTTGATTTCCAAAATACCTATAATTTTAGTAGTGCTATAATATCATTAAGGTGGACATTACAAAGCTTACGGAAAAAGACATGATGAATGGTATTGTTTCGATGATGACTCAGTAGAACAAGTGGAGCAGGGCCGTGTAGAAACAAGTCATCCATATATTTTGTTTTACAGGTAAGATCAGTAACTAACAACTCTGCTTGTGTGTCACTTGAAATTTATGCATTGATATAGACTGCTCATGAGGACCGTCACTGTACTAAAAAGCATTAAATTAATTTTTAGTCAGTTTTACTTGAATGTGCCTGTTTTAGTTAAAATGGAGCAGTGGGTATTGATTCTTTTCTGTTAATCAAGCTATCAATCAACTATTTGGCTATTCTGCAAGAAAAATCACAATAACAAAGAAATCTTTAAATTTTGACGATCTAAATGATTAATTCTATTCATCCATTTTCAAATGTCCAAAGTATATAACCATCAAAAAAATCTTTCAAGACATTTCTTTAAAAGACTCCCTGTTTTTAAATTGTTTCTTTTGATAAACTCTTATTAAAAAAATATAGTGTACATGTAATTTGTTTTTAAATTATCTATTATACTATACTAATCATGCCACTTAAAACATCTTTTGCAGGAAGGTACTTCCAAGTCAAGTAAAACTATGTACTTTTAATTGCAGGAAGGTACTTCCAAGTCAAGTATGTACTTTTAATTTTTAATTGGATAGCTTTTGTTAAAAAACATAAATTTCTATTTAATCAACCCTTTGACTGTTTAAATAACTTGATGTCCTGAGGTATTGTATTGTTATTGAACATCTAGGTTGTCCTCTTTAAGCTATCCATGTTGCCTTGGCACCAGTGACTCGAATGCATGTATGATCATTATCATTGTACATGTAGGTGTACATTTCCAAAGAGTGGCTATTCAAACAAAAGATGTTTGTTGATCCGGGACCCATAGACAATGCAGCTGTCCTCTGCGAACACGGAAGTAAGAATTAATACACAGTTATATTCTTTCAAGGCATACAATAGACGTTATCTGTTTGTATAGCAAAAATCAATATTTCTGAAAACTTCAACAAATTTTCCTATAGATTTAACACTGAAGTCTTAATTTACCTCTTCATAACCATCATAAAAGTTAAGAACTGTTTTTTATTCTTTATTTGTAACTTCTAGCTGTTGTGGTGAAAATATGTGTAGTCTCTGTCTCCATAAGGATAGTTACTCATTCTGCAGTAAAATAACTCAAAGATAGCATGAATGTGTCTTATGCCTTATAATTTGGAGAATTGCTTTGGATGTAGTTTACCTTGGTGATTAATGCAAGTGTTGCAGTTCCCAGAAAATGTATTTTAGCACTAGATGTATATAGGTTTATAAAATGCAAGGTCAAATATTATTTGAACTCTGTCAATTAACTAAGTTTCCGAGGTTGGATTTGATATTGCTAAGTTAACTAATTTTGCCTTTGGTGAACATTTCTTTACTGTTTAGACTTGAGAAATGAGGTTGCCGGAAATCCTGATAATTTTCTCAAAGAATTGTCTTATGAGGAGTTTAATGAATACTTCAAAAGGTAGGCTGTGTGTGTCAGTTGGTAGCTACATGTAGCTGTACATTAAGATACATTTAATTTAAGGCTCATTTTGTAATGAAATTTTGCCCCAGTTCTTGTTAATTGGTGCTGGGAAACATTTCCCAGAAATCCTTAGACATGCAGCTATTATACCAAGTGACTGTACAAATGCCACACTTTTTACGAAATTTAACCTCCATCACCACAATAAATGTTTTTTGCTACAAAGTTGTTTGCATGCTAGCTGTACATGTTTGGAAATTACAGTTTGAGGAACAAAAAGGGACTATACAGTCAAAAGGGTATAAAATGTGCTGATATCAAAAAAAACTTTGGTTTTGGGGGGAAAATGACACAGTGAAGAACTTGATGGTTAAAAAATTGTACTCAGTAGATATATCTTTTCTGCTACATGTTTATTGTATATAATTTTCTCAAGAGGAAAAGTCATAAAATTTGATATGACAGTGTGATTAATGATTGCAGATCATATTAACTTGACATTTAGGTATGATGGTTCGCCCCCTTTAAAGGTGGAATATTGCAACTCATGTTCCAAAGAAATGGAAAACAAAAAATCAGAAATTTCAAGATTTCAAGAGGTAAATATTTTTCTAGCTGCACTTGGGAATCAAAAAAAAAAAAAAAAAAAAAACACTTTTCTATGGAGCAAGTCCAATATGGACCTTGCATATAATTATCTTGTTTCGTCATATAGCATGCCTGTAGCCAGCAAATTCAAAAGGGGGGTTCTTTTTCTGAAAAAGTGGACCTTTTACAATGAAACTTATGTGTACCTAGAAAAAATTTTACCCAAAATGGACCTTTTCCTGACAAAAGGGGCAGTTCTCTTGAACCCGAGCCCCCAAAACCCCCTGGCTATGGGCCTTTATAGGCCTATCTACCTGTACATATTCTGTAACTTTACTGTAAAATTAAGAAGAATGTTTAAATTATTTTCATGGCATTTTTGATGAGGCAATGCCTATGCTGTATATTTACAGAAATGTGTAAGCTTTCTCTCCAGGTACAACAACTTTTAATTTTTTTGCAGCTACAAGTCTTATTTTCTAGAAGTCCAACCAACAATCAATTAGCATTGTCTCGTAGATGGTACGACAAGTGGCTGAAATATGTAAATGGACAAGCAGGCAAGACATTTCATATATATATATATATATGTATTCCAATGATGAATCTATAGCTCTTGCAGCATTTGGTTTTTAAGTTCAGTGAATCAAATGCTTTATTGTTTCAATGATGTAATTTACGGTACATATGTATACAGGTGCCAATTATTATCATTTATCATACAGAATACCCAGGTGAGATAGACAATTCACGCATATGTGACTCAGATGACAAGAGATGTGTGGCTAAATATGATCCTTCAGGTAAAATGTATATGAAGGTGTCAGTTGAAATGTGGAAGTTTCTGCATGACAAGTACAGAGGCGGCCCTGAAGTGCATGTGATCCAACCAAGTGGAGAACCTCAAAGAGGCTACCGAGAACAAAGGTAACATTTTGCAACCTGCTTCATAATGATCTATTTATTTTTGTGACTAAACTGATCAGTAAAATCAGAATTTCGGGTATAAACTGCTACATGTAGGTTGTAAAGGTGTTTCATTGAGCAAAACTATATTTGATAATGTAAAGAAATATTAATTAATTAGCTATGCATGGCATGAGCACTCCCCCTCTCTTGTGTATCCACATTCATTTACCCCTTCCAGATTTCCAAATTATTCATTGCAAGCAATGTCATCAAGCCAGCCTGAAGATGGAAATCACAGTTTAGAGGTGGATATGTTTCAAATGTTTTTTTTTATTTTATCATGTTTAATTTAAATTTCACATACACTTCCCTCATTATGTAAGATTACATGTAGTTTCAGACAGAATATTTACCAAAGAGTAGACATTAAATTCAGTTTTAAACATGATGAAGTCATGCTTGTTTCTTGTAGCAGGGAATTTTTTCTTTCGTTTTAATATATTGTAATCAGTGATAGTGATTGATCCATTTTTATACTGGGTAGTGAATTATTCTGTTAAATAATTTTAGTTAAATAAAACAGAACCTGCACTAGAAGCAGATGGTCGCTGTCATGTTTCAAACCAGTGGTATGACAATACAGACTACACTAAGAACAAAGGTATGTTTCATGCACACACATGTGTAGGTATACACACTCAGTTTCTCTTTTGTATAATTTTACTGACGATATATTTCACATCCCAAGTTGCACCAGAAATTGTAAGATCACACACCACACCTTTTCATGTTTTTTTTGTATTATGTTCTGCAGATTTTTTATAACATAAGCAGCAGGATTTGCCATCAATCTTCTTCATGTTAATACCCACATGGATTGTGGTTATGTATATAGTCATTACCATTAAATAAAACTCCTGTTTTGCAGAATATCCTGATGATCTCAGCCTTCCCACCAATACCCAAAGTGACTCAATGTCTTATGGCAGAAAAGCACTCAATTACTTCAAGACCAAGTACGGAACTTTCAGCGCATGGACTTCTCAACCTGAGCCAGGAACTCGCAGAGAGTTAATGATGCAGCAAGTTTTGTTTACTTTTTTTTATGTACGGTGAAGGGATATTATAAAACCATGGCCAGTAACAAGAGAGCATACTCCTACACCCAACATTCATTGTAAATTGCCTTTTTTCCTGCAAACATATTTTGTTTATTTGAAAGTGGCTTGATTGATTTTTTTCCTTCAGCACAGAGACACATGATGATGGAACACACGTGACAAGTGAAGACTCATTAAAAGAAATCTGTGTTAGCATACATGAGGTTGGTGTCTTACTACAGATTTAACAAGTCACACAAAGCAAATGACTCACTCAATTGTCCCTTGTGTAACCATGTTATGAATAATGGCATATGTGCACTTTTTTTGACTACCTACATGTATAAACAAATAATGATTTTAAGGTTTATGTACATGGCGGTACATTCATTAACTACTGTACCATTATAATTCACCTTTGCATTATTAGTAAGATAAAAATACTTAAATTTTGGATTTTTTTTATTTATAAAAAACACTATGTAGCAATTTACCCATGTTTAACACATAACACAAAAACCTGCAAATGTGCGTGCATTTTGGCTGCAGAACTTGCAATATGCGCTGAAGCCTTTTCTTTCAATAGGCAGCCTCTCCCACCTCATGTTGCATCATCCACACAGTGAGCAGGCCAGCAATTTCAAAAGGGGACATCTTTTTCTGAAGAAGCCAACCTTTTACCACAAAACATTTGTATACCTAAATAAAATTTTACCCAGAGTGGACCTTTTTTTCGACAAAAGAGGCAGTTTCTTCAACCCCCTAGCCCAACTCTCTGGACCTGCTCAAAGATGCCTTTTAAGTCAAAGTTTGCCACAAAACATGGCCAAACTTTTATGCATCTTTAAGAAGATGGGGTTCTTGACAGGGCAAGACATTCCAGAAATAAGAAGGGTAGCTCTGTGTTACTCCTAAACATGCCTTATTTAATTTGAAACAGGATACGTTCTTAAATTTTCATAATTCCATATCTACTTTGCAGGAATTTCAACAACTTGGAAAAGAAGCAAATGAGAGCGATTTTGTTTATTGTATCAATAAGGAATGGTGGAAACAGTTTGAAGCATATACTGTGGGGAATGATGGTAAGCTCACTTTATTTTGCAGTATGCCATTAATCCCTGCATGCAACTCACTTCAAAATAAATGAACTTGTAAAGAAGGAAAAACTCAATTTGTTGTGTCATTAAAACATGTAAAAGTACATTTTAGTCCATTGTATCTGTAAATCACTATTAAAAACGTTTTGTGATAATAAACAAGGCATGTTTTGCTACACATTGGGCATCCATTTTGAGAGTGAGAAATCTCTTGGGTAAAATTTTTATCCACAGAAATGAGTTTTACTTCAGTCGCAGAACCACAGTTTAGTTATTCTTACTTTTACTGTTTGATATCCTTTGGCAGGTACAGAGAAACCAGGCATGATAGATAACAAATTTATTGCACGTCAAGTGCATGAAGCAACCCACATTGATGGTGCACTGAGAATTACTGGTAAACAATGGATCCTGCTCAGCAAAAACTTCGGATCGGAACAACAAGAGCCCGTAATAATAAGGTGTGGGGAAATATCACCATATACACCAGAAAGAAAATTGCATAGTCACTGCTTTATTTTATTATAGATAAAATAAATGTGATATTATTAAATTAATTATAAATTATATCATAATGAAATGTAAATAAGCTAAAAGAATGCATGTACATACATAAAGCGAGTTCTTTTTAAAAATTCCACCAGTTCATGTGGACAAGGTGTAAATGCATATTTTGATGCCACCTTATATTAGGCATGCATCATTTTCTGCAGAATTAGATCACAAGAAGGGGATATGGATGTGGACAGTGAGGACCAACCTCACCCAAGTGATGAGGCAGCCAGTTAAGTTTAGGTACATGCCTTTTGTTTTATTCCTTCCTACAAATAGCAGCAGTTATTTGTGCATTAATCTTGGATTAAGATGGACGATGTAAAATGAAGTATTGATAGGACATTTTGTAAATAATATCTTGTTATCTTTTCAGGTTCTAGAAAGTAAAACAGAACTTATTTGTGGTAAAAATGTAAGCCCAAAACAGGACTAGATATAAGAGATGTGGTGGATATAGAGATTGTTGCTCAAGAATTGAAGGGGATTTCATCAAGGTCCCAGTGACTGACAACTTTTGTTCAAATAAAATGAAAACAGCTTTTTACAGAAAGATTTTTAATTTTTTGACTGTCTTGTAATAAAGATGGATACTGGTGAATTTCATCAGTATTAGTAAAAGTAAAAAAAAAATCACAAATTACTATGAAAACAGGTTTATGGAGCATAATTTTCTCACCCCTTTTTCAAAAGTGATAAAGGAAAAATTGTTTAAATTTCCAGGAATTTCGAAAAATCTTTTTTGCTACATTTAAGTCTTATTGCACTTATTTAGTGATTTTCACAGATGGTGTTCCAAATGATACAATATAACCTGATTCAAGTCCAAATACAAACTGTCTCACAATCTAGTACTTAATTGCTTCTTGTACCTAATAAAATTATGAAAATATAAAAGTATATATTTAATCAATCAACAAAGTATTTTGTAATATATTGCATATAGCATTTCATCATCAGAGTATCTTTAAGTCAGTGTTTTAGCCTAGGGTAGCATCAGCCTGTTCCATTTTGTTCACATACTATGTTATTCAGAGGTAAATTGCCCATAAATAAGCGTAGGTTCTCTGGTTTGGAGACCCATGTACTGAACACAAGCTTCAACTGGCTCCATGCTCTCTGGTAGGAAGAGGCAGCCATCTTAAAATCAGCGTAGGTCTTCAGTGAAGCATCCCTGGTGATAATATATGGTCACAATATTGATAGGTAAATTGTTCTATTAAATAGATTTCTACTAGTCTTCTTCCCTTGTTTCATGGCTCAATTGGCCCATGAATACGATAACATATATACCTATCTAAGTATAGAAATATATAGGTAGAGATAGATAGGTAGAAAGATAGATGAACTCCAGTAGATCTTTTATTTCTGTGTATTATTGTTATAATGCATTTTAATTTGTTTCTATCCAATTTAAGCTTATGTGCAAATCAAATTTAATGGATTTTGAAATAAATTATTACTATTATTATTATTATTATTGTTTAACCTTCATAGCCGTACCTGAGTGTTGTTGGTACTGAGTGTTGTGGTAATCCTGAAAGCAGTCCTGCAAATGTTTGAAATAACTCCAAGGGACAAAGATAACACCTGAATAAGAAAAAAGGCTCTGTTATAACTTTTGACATGGACAAAGAATATCATTTATTAAATAAAACAATAAGTTGTATGACAATCTCCTCTCACACACAATAGCTGGTAATATTGTCTATAAGCTTTCCAGATCATTCATGTTTCAAAAATCTCTCAAGTTTGTTTCTTTTTACAGCAGTGCTTGAACAGAAAAAAACAATTAGATTACACTTATTGAAAAAATAAAATTCTCAACATTTTTTGCAGATCACAGATGATCAAGAACCCAGTGTTAAATGTAATATAAAACAAATCAAATCATTTATAAAATTTAAAAACTGTCCATTTATAAATTTTACTTTCATCACCAGATGCTGCAAATTTAGGTAAAATATGATGTGTTTTGCTACAAAATATGGGGGAATTGCTATAAAACATTCAGTATACCTACATAAGGCAATAGTGTATAAAACATTTGACAAAAAGGGACTTCTCACCTTGCTTCTGGTTTATCTCTGTTTTTAGCTGTCACTCCCTGTCTCTTCCCATGTACAGTTACCTCTACAGCACACCCAGGAACATTTGCCCACATAATGGCTGAAAACAATTGGGACAACATTAAAATCTCTATAACTGGTTATTCAACTGTTTTATGACATAAATGTGTAAATGAAAGCTGTTCCATGAGCTCTGTTTTAAAATACTCCATCAACACAGCACCATATGAAAAAAACTTAATATAATTAAACGTATATCAATTACTTGTGGCAGATGAATAATAAACACACACTTATATTTTAATAATTAAATGGAGTTGCTGGAAAATATGTAACGAAGCTACAATAAGAGCTTGATTTTACCATGTTCATTAAAGGTGTCTGACAAAAGTGGAAATTTCGTATCAAATACATTACCTGGATATCAAAACAAGTCTGATATACACAAACACAAGTACAGAAACTGACAAAAAATAAATCAAATTAGAAAAAGTATGCAATAACACCATTTACAGTTAGGTGATGGTGCAATGGCTCCACCTGCTGCCAGTTGTTCCACTGCCTGTTTACTGTGCTGAAACTGTAAGCTGGACTGCAGTAACACAGGGCGATGAACATGATACCCCTCAGGTAAACCCCTCACACTAAGACACCTGTCCACAACTGCCCTCTGGAGAGCGCTCTTATCAAATGGACACTTGGCCACAATGACCGAGCTGAGATACACTGGCCGTTCCAGGAAGTGACTGAGAAGCGCCCCCTGGCAGCCCAAGACATTCCACCTCCCAAGTTTATCACTACAACTCATTGAAATTGTCCTGTCTCCTCTTCCTGGTTTTGTGCGTAGGACCCCAGTGATGTGGTAATCATCTCCTGACCCCAGGGTGTCTTGGGCGCCCCCTGGGGCACACTTAGCACCAGTTCTGTAAATATCTTTCTTCAAGGTACTTGATGATGGATCTGTTTCCTGCTCAGAATGTGAAGACCTGTTTGTTGTCCCACTGCCAGAAATTTGTTCTAATTGATTAATACCTTTTTCTGACGGGTGAACAGAATTACATTTGGGAGCACCAGCAAGTCCATTCGATGTATTGTTAGAAGATAGCATGTGTTCAAACTCGTGCACATGATCAGGGTCTGTCTTCATTGTAGACCCATAAAAACAACCTTGGCTTGATGGTTGGGATGCAGGTTTTCCTGCTTTTAAGCTTAAATGAGATTTTCCCATCTGTAACTCTTTCTGCTGCAAAATATGAACTTTTGCATTTATGTCTGAACTACTGCAGTTGTTAGGTGACACTTGATCAGAAACATTTCCACCATCTTTTTGGATATCACAGGCATTTTTGGCACCTGGCAGATCACTGTCAGGTGCTTCAGTGGAGAGAATCTCATTCATTCTCTCAGAAGTTGTGGCAGGTAAATCCTCTGTCTTTGCTCTCTTAGCAGGAGGCCCACACAGCTCTCCTAAAGAACTGTTTTCACCTGTGCTGCTGCATGTATGTGCCATATCACCAGTGGCACCAGTCAGTTCTGTATTTTGACAGCTTGTCTTGGGAAATATAGATGCATCGCCACCTATCAACAAGATATCATCCATTACCAATGCTTCAAGCATAACTTGCAAAGGCTATTTACTAACTGTTTAATAAATTTGTTTTTAACACAATCATTTTAAAAAAATCTTCATAAGTCTGTTTTTGTATCATATATTTTGTTGTAATTTCCAAGCAAAACATCTGTCCGAACTTTGAAACTTTAATTTCAATAAAAAATACCATTTTGGAAAAATTAATATTAAAATAATCATTCCAATATTAACAATTACCACTTACATGGTGTGTGGCTTGTAATAAGATGAAAATCTACCCCAGTCTTGACACGACAGTGTGTTTTATCTTCTGTCACCTGGAAGACCCTGCTTTCCCTCCCTCTATAGGCAGCAGCCAGTTCATGATACAGGAACTTGAGGAAGGCTCTTCTTGCCATGACCTCAGCATGGCTGTCATTCAATATGTCACCTACAAGAGATATGTCAAGAGACAAAATAAGGATGGATTCAAATATTTACAGGCATGTCCTTTGGCTATGCCAAAATGTGAAAATTATGACAAAAGATCCAAACTTAATATTTTATGATAATCAAATTTTACATGACACACGTTCTAGATTTTAAACATTTTTCTTGGTTATATACAAATGCCAACACTGTATCTACTAGCATGTTTTTTTTGTGTGTGTGTGTGTGTTGAAGACTTTAAAAACAGAATGAACTGACAATTAGATGCAGAAAAAAAAAGAAACATGAAATAAAAATGAAGAAAATAAAGTTCTAAATAAAACTGTGAAAATGAATACAGCTTTATTTCTTACCTTTGCTACTCATCTTCGCCTGCCCAATACACTTGGAGCCTGTTCCTAATGACACCAGATTGGCTTCATAAGCACCTGGAAAACAATGACGTGTACATGTCTTTGAATGATAAGAACTGTCTGAATAACCATACAATGATATGCACAGAAAAAAAAATGAAGATAAAGGGAAAACTTTAGCATAATTAAAACAACAGATTAAAATTATTGTCATCATAAAAATTCAATTTCCAAGCATACATCTATACCTACTGGGGGTACGTGCACATGTCTGTACTTGTGCAGCCAGACTATAAAATTTTACTATTACATGTATTGTGATGCTCCAGTATAACATCTTTTAATGAGAGAAATAAAAAATAAAGTAGAATATATTCTTTACATTCTTTTCTTCACATGTTGTTTATCATATGGCAGCAGTACCCCACTATACACACCGTTTGTCTTCTCTGTTGTCATGACAACTGCAGCTAACAATGTCCACTCTCTCCTGGGCACAGGCTTTCCCTTTTTAGGCAGCTTGTTTGCATAGTGGTCAAAGCATATCTTGGTCAACTTGTTGGCAAATTGAGCATCTTTTTGCCAGTTTCTTTCTTCATGCATCTCTAGATCTATTGAATCAGAACTGTCCTTGCAAGAAAAACTGTAAAAAGAAAACTAATCTTTCATCAATCTGCTTTTTTCCAACTGTTGGCTTGCCACTACAGGGGTCATCATTTCACATCATTACTCCCCTCTAATGCCAGTATTATAAACCCAAATTTTGTCTTGTAACATTAGATGGTGTGGTTGCATGGTGAAAAATATAAATGATAACTGTTAATAATAATAATAAGAAGAAGAAGAAGAAGAAGAAGAAGAAGAAGAATGATATGGGGAAGCTTATCCCACACGGTTCATTTGTAATTTTTCGGGGGGAGGGGGGGGGGGAGGATTAGCACACAGTCACTAAATCATGTATCTGTACACCGAAGACCGTCGTTGTTTTAATGGAACAGTTAACGTGCAAATCGTAAAACGAACCGACATCAAACGCAGAGCAACGAAGAACTGCCATAAGTCTAGATAAAACAATGCGCAAGTACCAGCTAGTAACTGAGTAAGTGGAACTAAAGTCTAAACGGCCGTCTATTCACTTCTATTTCTTCAGTAAGTTCATAATTTCTCGATCTTCAAGAAGTCAGATATTAGTGACATTACATTACATGAAGCTTACGTTTTTAAAGTATGCATCAAATGAATCCATCAAATGAATTTTTTGGACGAAACAACACAGCGGTACATTGTCCCAATTATAAACTAAAAATAGAATACCGGAAATAGTTAAAAATTCCTTCCTTCGATTGCAAAAGAGTCCCTTAGTGTTCTTTAGTTGGCCTTGTACATTTTGCGTTTAAATGCAATGCGTTGTTTCAGGTAAGCTTTGCTTTTATAAAAAGATATTGAATTCACATATGAATTATTTGGTTTGAAATAGTGTGCTGAATTATCATTCCCAGCTTAATCAGTCTTATTCGAAAAGCGCAACGAGTTGGCCTCGGAGTCACGGGACTTGAACTGGAAGTGGACAGATAACAATAATAAACAAATGTTTTATGACGCCGTAAATAATAAATCTGACTCTAAGTTTATGTATACTAGAATTATTGTACGAAGGATGTAAGGATTTGTGTCTATGGCGTTGTCTTAAAGGTCTCAAGCAGAATGTAACATGCAATTTAGTACCAGTATATAAAATAGTGAGCATGAATAATTTACTTTAAGTTTAAGTTAACATTTCCTGGGTCAGTAACACTGGTCACTTTTAATAACAGTATTGTGCCAGCTTGCAAAGTATTAAGTTACTCAATTTTGACTTCATTGATCAAGGGTATCCAACATGCCATGAAGGTCGCCAGGAAACCTGAATATTTGTAACAATCTTTGAAGTCAGATGTAGATATTTTAGTCTAATGATCATCCTTCAGTACCACCTACAGTTTGATCCAACATATGTTTGTCCCTAGGTTCCACTCATTTCTTTCCATCTGTGGTCTTCTTACCCAGCACATATTGTTGAAGATCCTTGATTTTAGCATAAGAGACAGATTTTATGAATGTATGTGTACTGTAGAAGTCCTTTTTCAAAACAAACTTGCCTGTTTAAGACACTGACAGCTATGTTGTGCAGCTTGCTCATAATTGTGATGGCTGCCTTTTTGACCTAAGCATATTCAGTAACTAAAAAGCAAAATAAAACAAAACCCCTTGACTGGGACTAAATTTAATCATTTCTGTATTCGATTATTGCTATAATTTTTTTGACAGTGTTAAAACCATCTATTTGAATTAATATTCACACTTTGATCCCAAGCTTGATAATGAAAAAGTTCTGTTAAAGTCCCATGTGACCTCAAAAGTGTTGATTAAAGCAATGCTTATTTATGGAAGGTGCTAAATGAGAATCAATAATTCACTATGTAATATATCTCTGGGTAGGTAGTAACTCAATTTGCATGGATCAGCTTGGTGGATGCTAAAGGCAGCAGATTGCTAAGGTATTAACAGAGGTTAACATTCTTCATTTAAGGAGGAAAGGAGGAAGTGTGTCTACTGCTATAACTGAGTTGAATTTTTTTGACTTTCTTTTTCTTTTACAACAGAACAGGCCAGAAGCTATGCAGTCCTATGATGAAGATCTCTTTGAGAACAAGTTCTTTGTTAACTTACAGTCGAAATATGCAGAAATCTACAACTTTGCTGCTGACAACAGATATATGGTACAGTACCTCATTCTCTCTCTCTCTAAAATTTTAAAAGGTTTAATAAAATTCACATAGTGTTTATGTTATAAAGTGATATGAAAATTACATTTCTTTTTCTTTTCTTATTTTTCTTTTTACAGATCTGTGTCCCCAGAACAGGTCACAGCTCCTCTAAATATCTTTATACTGAAGAGGACTACAGAAACCATATCCTGATCCCAGTGGATGACACTCCAGGGACGTTCAAGACAGCCAATGATAAGGTATCTAGAGTAAGCTAAAAAGGATAGTATATAACAAATGCCATAAGTAAATTCTAATAATCCTAAAGAAAGTGAAAATACACACATATGCCTGTACACACAAAAAATGTGTCTGTGTGCTTGCATGCATGTGCACACACGTATGGGAACATGCATGCATGCACATACACACCCTCTTGCACACCTACACGCATGCATACACAAACACACACACATATCTTGATCTAGAACTAGAAAAAAAAATGAAAATTTCCAGCACTTACTAGGTATTTCCCAAATCAGTTTTCTCTTCCAATTTAAATTTTCTATACTGTAACCTGTATATGTCTGATAGACTTCATGTTAAATGCCTAAGTACCAGTGATTTCTCAGTTGGTTTATCTGTTCAGGAGGTGACAATCCAGAGTGGGGTCATTACAACAGGTCAAGGGTTCAAGGACGTTAGAAATGTGAGTAATGCATACACTACGTAGGGCAGAATTGATATCCTGCACATCTCTTTCTGTCATATTATATGTATAAAGAGAAGTACTAAGTATATATTGTTTTTACTTTTATCTGAGAATATAAAAAGAGAAAGAATTTTCTCGTGGGTGGAATGTTATTGTTTTATCTATGGTAAACAAAAAATTGTTAAGCTAGAAATGTTTGCATATCAGATACAACATGAGATGGTTCAATATAGAGGTATTCATTCTAGGGCTGAAATTCTATTAACATTTATAACAGAGTCCTCTTTTTTTTCTAAATGCTGAGTTTTCTGCAAAAATTGCTGTTAGAAGTATACTGCCTAAAATGTTGAGTATGCCCCAAAGTTGTGAACAATCTACTGTCAGTGCCTCAGTGAAAATGTCAGTAAATTCATTTATGATTGTTATTTTTCATTTGCAGTAAGTTTTGTTAATTGTTTGTTATTTTTAGGCNCACACATCATACATTATGGTAACTCTAAATAGATCGTCGGGAGAAGATAACAGAAGGCCTAGCGACGAACAGACAACTTCCGGTCAAAATTGACAGAATTCCATGAAATTCGAACTTTTGGAAGTTCTGAGCACCTCCATTTCATGAATTAAGGCCAGAACGACCTTTTCCCAAATTTAATTATTTTCTACTGTTCGAAATTCATAGCACATTACCGTAGATACTATACCTATGAGATCCATCCCGACTAATTCCAGAGGCTCACTAACTGATATGGGCTTAAGCTCTGGGCTCTGAGTCTTTATCTTACTTTGTCTTTGGCATGCATCACACACTTCAATCTGCAGCAGAAAGATAAATTTTTCTGACGTATATCAATTGTGATCCTTCCTATTATTTTGCAAAAATAATAAAACAGCAAGTATACTGAAAACTCCTTAACTACTACAAATTAGTTACTGATGCTACATGGGCACTATCTGAATAGTTTACAAACACACTGTCTCTGGAGTGAACATAATAAGAAAATGAGAGAACAGTTTCATTAGCTCTGTATGTATAAATTTAAATTATTGTTTTTCTTTTTATCAAGAGCTTATAAAATATGTTGGTATTACCTCCAATATTTCTGTGACTGTCAGTCACCATCATCAGGGAGTAAAAATATAAGAAAACTCTTTAAAGCAAAAAGCAAATGTTTGAATTTCTATGTGTATTAAGTAAAATAAGTTAATATGGCTTATTCTGATCAGAATAGTATCTGAGAATACATACATATTAAGAAATGTACCTGAAGATCTTAATATAGAAGAGCTTAAAACAAAGCGTACCTGTTTTGCTCAGACATACTTACATATTCTTTGTACCAGACATACCTTTAATTTCGCTCTACATCCAAAATAACTCTTTGTCTGATGCCTGGTTTGTCACCTTTGCCAACGTAATAAAGGTCTCCTGAAGAGAAAAAAGTTACTTATGCATTCCCGTACATCAATTACACATGGAATTTAGAACGTATATTCATTGTTTACTACAAAATATAAAGAATCCTGCAAAGGGATAGAAGCCATTCAACCATCTATCTTGGATAATAATGGTTTACCAGCCAGAGTGATATCTAGATATTGTGTCACACATGATGATGCACTGTAAGGGTGAGATAAGGAGCATATCATGAATCAGAATTGACTTAGATGGAAAATAAGATTTCTTTGCCAGACATAGGACTCATTTTAAAAACCAATCAGATATGCCAAACTACTGACCTTCATCATCTAAAACATGAGTCTGTGCTCTTTCTCTTATTTTCCTTAATTCTTTAGGGTCTTCCAAAAAGTCTCTCGGTCTCCCGTACTGTATGTACCGCTTCACTTCCCTCATAAATGTAATGAAGTCGTCATTTTTTGTAGCCACGCTGGAAAATATATAAAGTCATAAATAAAAACATTGCTCATTATGCCTTCTGCAGATAAAGAGGGACTATAACTTCCATCCAATTAGGTTTTAAATTTGAATGTTCACCAATAGTGTGGCTCCTAGTTTATACTCATATGATAACAAATTTACATCCAAATATTTCAATTTACAACAATAACAAAAAAGTTGCTACATAAACATGCACAGTCTGAGGAACATCAAAATAAATACAGCACCCTGAAGACATTTTCCCTCTCTAAAAGCTGCTGGGCAATATGAGGAGTTTTTTCTTCTTTTTTAAAGCCATCATGCTTAAAGTGTCAGTCATCTGGATTAGGCTGGTTAAAAAGTAAGTGAAAGTTATTAGATAATAATGCTGCAATAAGACATTTTAAGAACAATCAACTGTAACTGGTGATGTTATCTCCTGATAAGATCTAAGCTTTTGCTGTTCCTGAGTTGTCATTTCATTGTTCTCATAATGTCAGAACAAAACTGACAGGTGATTAGCTCCGAGCTTAAGCCAAAATAACATTTTAACTGAGTCAGTGACACAAACATACATGTATGTACCTTAATTCAAATCAATTCTTCAAGATATTCAAACTGAAAACAGTCCATCTGTGATAAAAAAACTCACTTGATTTCGGACATACAGATGGTTAAGACCATATAATCAAGTTAAAAAATCTAACAGGTGACCTACTTTAATATCCTTGTTTCAGTCCTTTAGAAAAAGAATGAGCTAAATAAAAATTTTCTTTTTTTAACTTAATGATTATCTTGGTAAGGACCATAGATACAAGCCTGCAAGCTGAAAGGTAATTATAGAAATTACCTAATAACAAAGTTGGAGACAAACCCTTCTTCCTATTATGAGACTAATTTCTGTTTGACTTTCTTTACAAGGAAACCAACAACTCTCCATACACGTACGTGTATTTTGTACTAACTACATAGTTAGATTTTGAATATACCTGATTATATGATTAACTTAAGGTAGATCGGTCGTTACGTAATTTGACGATTTGCGCAATTTCAGCGCATCGTCAATCGTCTCTAACGACACAGTGTCACACTTCAGTCTGTTTTATCAATTTGAGGAAATAAAACAATTATCTATAAGATAAACACACATTATCAACTTGTCTGTAACTCTGTATGATCGATACAGATTTTCGACAACGTTTGTCGACTATGATTCCATACGACAACTGTAGCACGTTCATAGACTTGCCCTTCAAGAAATCGTCGGAATAGCTCCTTTGGCACGAGCAAATGTATGGCAGCTAAAGCTCACAAATTATGCACGTAGATGCTGTATCATGTAAAGAATAAGTTTTGTAAATTCCAATCAAAGCGGCTGATTACATTTTGAGGTAGAACGCCCTGAATGTGCTGCAAACCGCAGCTTAGATTTCGACGAAAACCGGAAGTGCGTCGTACGCCACTCATTTGGACTTAGAGAAATTTGGACTGAGAAATATTTCGTAGCTTAGATCTATACAAATGTTCAGAAAATGGCCATACAGCTTGAAGAAAATTCACTAATCAAAATTGAAACTGCGTTATACAGAAAAATTGTGCACTTCTGACCTTGACTTGTCAGTGTAAACAAAGTGTACTGAACGCACCGCAAGCAAGCATGCACGTGAATGCCGCATTTGATACTTTGTATCAGACGCTTCATTTTACTTGACAACACAGTGTTTACGATGTCACGTTCATGTTTTATTCATTAAAAAATAACGGCAATAAACTATTTTCATATGCATGAGTATTTCCCTTATTACTCTCTTCAAGAATTTTGTTGTAAAGTTAATGGCTTACACCTTCTCATCAGTTTGACAAATCTGAAAATAGCTGAGTATACTCACTTCAACTGTTAAACATAATGAAAGTTTTAAATGTACTTAGATGTTTCTCCACACACACACAAAAAAAAAAAAATCATAAAAAATAACAATTTAGTGAAAAACACCCATTTCNTTCAAACAAAAAAAAATTTAAAAAAATTCAAACGTTGGAACATGTAACGACCGATCTACCTTAAAGGTATATATATATATATATATATATATATATATATATATATATATATATATAAGAACCATTTAAAAATACATAATTTTTTATCAGAGATTTGCCAATTTTCAATGAAATATTAGGTACATGTATGTTTGTTCTTTATTACGAGCCCAAAAAGTGAATTTTGTCTACAAAGGCAAAATTCATCTTTCTTTCGTGTTGAAATAATGATTCCAGGGCTCTGCATTTACAGCTTGTTATTAGAGTTCTTCTCACCTTTTAAGTCAAACAACATAGATCTTAATTGATGAATTACTAAAGACAATTGAAGAAATAAGCATATGTTGAATACTCCTTCCCACAGACCGAATCAGTTAACAATGGCTATGAAAAAAACCTAGGCTGTGCACTGTAGTAAGAATCAAATTAAAACATATTAGTTAAACAATCAAATGTCTATTATAGTGTGCAACATTGTATATTCAGCAACGAAATTCCAAACATTTCAGATAGAGAGGACTTGCCTAAGTAATTATAAATTAAAATCAATAATAGACATACAGAATTGTCATTCACCAAATTTACAGGCAATTCTCAGCATCAGTGTGCAGAAAATGTTTATTTCTACTGCAACTGTGTGTATCTTAACTGAATATCTGTCCAGGTAATTCAAGTGATTTTGTTAATACACATTTCGACACATTTTTGATTTTGTCATTATGAAATTGGTGGGCACTACTCTGACTAGTACATTATACTTACTAGTAGTAGTAACTCTACCTGCTGTGTAAGGTTACAAATTGACATCAACAAGTAAAACGTACGTTAGACTTACTTGCCAACTGGTAGATGATTCCCCCCCTTTTTTCTACTTTGTTCTTTTGAAGTAGACCAAAAAATCGCCGATATCAGCCTTCCTCAGTCCCTCCACTTTTAGTGATTTCCTCCTACATGCTGTGTTTTTCTGAAGTAAATGGCTCTTAAAAGTAAACAAACATCGTACTCCATGTTTCTTATCATCTGTTACATACTTCTACATATCAAATCTTATATAAATCAAGCATAATGTTAAATCGATAGAGACTTTACGACATTCGGTTTGAAGGCTTTAACCACTTGTAATAGTTTATTTTTGCATTGTATTGGATTAATGTGGCAGTCTAAGGTTGTCCTAGGTGGTTTTCAAGTTTATGCACCGGGTTTTAATATCTTTTAGCGATTTTACGACAACCGTTTACTATCCAATCAAGGTGACAGCCGAGCGTGCATATCCTTAACAAGGCACTCATTTAACTAGAAAGGAAAGCACAAAAATAAGAAAGTAAAAGTAAAAATATTGACAGATAGCACTTTACAAATACTCAAAGGAAAATAAAACTGACATAATGTCTTCACAACAAAATCGTGGCGGCCAGGACGCCCGCCCCATACCAGCAATACAGTGGGGATCCATGGGAGACCCGTCAGCCCGTCTGGGCACCTTTGTCAATTGGCCAGCGGACAACCCCCTGCGAGCCGCTGACCTAGCAGAAGCCGGGTTTATACACATGGGTCAGGGAGACATGGTGAAGTGTGTCTACTGTGGAGTAATGATAAGAAATTTTGAGCCTGGCGATACTGCCATGGGGGAGCATTCGAGATATTCTCAAGAATGCCCCTTTGTTCTGAAGAAACTACGTTCGGAAAGGCAGAGAGAAAATTTCAGGCAAATATATTCAACACAGTCTGAATCTTCTGGCTATGGGACAGGTTCTGCTGGATCGACTGGACGTTCTGTTGCCACTGAAACGTCAGCTGCAACATCAGGATTTGTCACAGGGACAACATTGCAATCAAGATGGCCATCATCAGTATTGGAAAATAGCCCTATAGTTAATGAAAAACCAAGACATCCAGAATTTTCTACCATACAAAGGAGACTAGCTACTTATAATAACTGGCCAAGTGACAAGACCCAGAGACCAGATATGCTTTCTCATGCTGGCTTCTTTTACGCTGGCTTTAACGACATTGTTAAATGCTTCTTTTGTAATGGACGCCTGGAAAATTGGGAGCCTGGGGATGAACCGTGGACGGAACATGCCCGATGGTTTCCCAAGTGTGGCTATGTGAAACAGTGCAAGGGTTTGGACTTTATAAACAGTATTAAAAGAAAACAGGTGAGTATGTGTGTGCAGCTGCTGCACAAAACACGGGTGCATGCTGTACTTGTGACGAATGTCCATTTTTGAGTAAAGTAAGGGTGAATCACAGTTTAAAAACTTCCACATAGATCTACTAGTACTTAAAAATTACATTTTTTTTTCAACTTGTCAATGCAGTGTGTGTTATGCCCAGAGTATCAGGTTTGAGATTTTGTCTCATTGTAGAATGTATCTATTGATGATTTTTAATGGTCAGTGATGAATGTGTCATTTTGATAAACACTGATACCAGTTGATACAAGAATAATTGGATTTCAATTTAGAATAGGCATTAGTGTATGAAATTATCCTTTTGTTCAATGCTATCCGTCTCCCTCTACATTTAGTATATATATATATACTGGTAAAGATTATAGATATATTTGGGTTTTTTTTCTAGAATGAGTCAGCTGCAGGCACTCCTCCCCCTTCAGCGCCTGCATCCAGGGGTCAGTTTTATTAAAATATTCGTTTCTTTGAAAAATATCACAGCAAAGCTTAATTATCAGTCATCAAAAAATTAAGTTGATAAAATAAAAAATCTTCTTTGAGACATTTTGGCATGGTATCACATATTTTACTTTGAAAGCACATTGTCATGGGTAAAGTTGAATTGATTTTCAGTCTTTAAGAAAAAAAATCAAAAAAAAAAAAAAATGATATTAAGATTTCAATTACAAGAAAGCCTAACCATGTACCATTTCTTTCCAGCCCCCTCCTCCCAAGACAGGACGTCAGAGGCGCTGATGAAGCCCTACGCCAGGGCAGTGATGGAGCTGGGATATCCAAGTGATATGGTGAAACTGGCTATTGAAAACAGATTTAGGGACTCTGGTGAGTTGAAATATGTGCTTACAAACAAATCTTTGAAGTCTGATTCTGCAGTTACTGCTGAGTCTAATGGACAAAATTTCTCTCCGTCACGGAGACTTCACTTAAACAGAATTGTGATTCCTGTATGAGAAATTCATTTTTGTGAAAATGAATGGATGATCATGACTAATTTAGATAGTATGTAAATCGGTTCTGTTCTTGAAGTTTGTTCCTCCTGAGATTTATGGGAGCTGCCCTTCCCCAAGAAAAAATAAAGAATTGTACGGAACTCCAGAGTAGTTGCCCTGAAATTTAGATGAGAGGCCTAGAATAGTGATACCCCACCCCACCCCACCTCATCCCTGTTTTATATTACCTCTTCGCAGCATCACTTCCATTGCAATGAGAAAATTTTATCTGGCTTTAACCCTATTGAATGAGATTGGTAGTAACAGATTTGATAGAAAGTGTTACGGGTGATCAACTTTATGTCTACGTAACATAGGTTTTCCTGGAGTAAAATGTACTAAATTGATTGTCAACGATGAAAGAGAAACTATATCTTAACTGCATGTCACTGCGAAGATCTTGTTCTGCAACCAGTAAAGCATCCTGGGGTGGTATGCATGTAAACCAGAGACTCGCCTCCAAATAGTCTCACTAGAATCTAACTTCGTGCCACTTACCTTACCTAAAAAGTCCTGAATATTCTTTATATATGGTGTTCACTTTTCCCTATCAGAGAGCTCAAAATGTTAATCACACAATTTCCTATATGCTATTCCGTGCTGACTGTCACATCACAACTGCAATATAGCACTGGGGGGGGGGGGGGGGGGGGGGGGCATCCCCTCACTCCAGAAAAAAACAGTCTGATCCAAATACAAATTACACCTACAGTGATAATTACTATTAAGGGTTCTCCATCATTCTAAGTTACTGTTCATAATCTTTATTCCTGAGATTATTTAGTTTCAGTAGAGTTTTTTTTTTTTTTTTACCCAATCATCTTATTGCGTACGCATCGCATCGGCAGATACTTTTGTTCTAGGCTAATTTCACCACATTATTTAGGCACATAGTAGATGACAAGTTAAAATCCCCATAAATGCATATTTACTGTAATTTTTTTTTTTTTTTCATCGGCATGTGGTAAACATGTTGACAAGCAATTTGTTCAATCTGTTCGGCGTAAACAGAGGTCAGCTGGAACTATGTGGACCTCTTCCCATCATTGACTGATCAGACTGAATGTACATTTTATGTATTAATGGATTATATAATCAGATTGCCATTTAGTAGCTGGTCATTTACCATCCTGCTCCTCCCCCTCCCTCGCCACACACACACACAAACACTCGCACACACATTTTTTTCTCAGCTTTTTTCAAACCAGAATGTTCTAGAATGGAGTTGTTGAGTACATAGTATTGGTAATCCATTTCTATGGATTGACCCTATTACTAAGTGCTTGTCCCTTAGAGTCAACATTTGCTGGGTGGGATGGGCGAGAATTTTATAGGTGTGTCTATTTAATATTTACTTTTCTACAGGCAAAAGACCTTTTATAGCTTACTTAAGGATTTCATTAACAATCTAATACAAAATTAAAAATTAAGTTTCTCAATTTTATGCATTCATTTATTTATTTTTAATTTATTTCATTTTATTAGTTTTAATTAATTAATTAATTTTTGTCCAAGTGAATAGTCCATATCTAACTAGGCCCAGATACATGGCAGTGTTTGGTATGATGTTATATTGTATTCAGTATTGATGTACTAGTAAATTGATTTTTTGTGTTACATTCAGTTCTAGTGATACATTTAAACTTGTACAAAGTTCAGAGTTGAAGTCTGTAGAGTTATGGAGTACTTGATAAACTTCAGAGTAAGTATGTTACCATTATGGGCGGTGTATGTAATCACACTGATCATGTGACAGCATTCCTGAATGTCATTTACTAGTACATTAAAGGATTTGCGTCATGCCGTCAGAATGGCCTGAACGGAACATATTCTTCAGAAAACATGCCCAACTAACGATATCTTTATCCAAATACACAAATTAAAAGCTCATTTTGTAAAATTTTGGCTTTAAAAAACGTCCTATTTGCTCGGCCTGGGAGTTAATGAGCTACGTGGTCACGTGGTCCGATGACGACAATCATGCCACCGGAGAACAGAGCGTGCTTAGCTGTCAAACTGAGCTGCATTGTCTACCTGTAAGATGACTTCTCTGGCTTCTGATAAAAGTTTATACTCATTTAAATCTCTTACCCGAGGGGTCTAAATCCTCGTGAAGCTGTGTAAAACCATTTCCCATCTAGTCAATTCTTTAACAAGCATTTAATTATGGTTATCCCAAGTTGTATAAAACACTGCATTTGAATGACTTAAGGGTACTGTTGATTATTGCATATGAGGTCCATGTTATTTGTGAAATTCAATTTATTTTATAAAACCGCTGACACTCCGTCTTGCATACTTTTATTAAACTGAGGTAAACAATGCCCGTTACCTTTACAAGTCCTATCTTAATCATCCATCTAACTGCAACTTCCTTTACCTCTTAATTAGAGGGTTAAATGGCATTTAATTTGTCTTGCTTGTATCGAACGCACTCTCTAAGCTTTACTCCAGTTATCTCAGGTAATATCTACCTGTGCGTTAGTTTCAAAGAGCAGCTCCCGTAGACCTGGGGGTACTAGATAAAATCTGAACACCAGGTTTATCGAGGAGCTAGAGAAAGAAAGGAAGAATTTTTCCTGCACAGCTTCATAGGAATTTTAACACGGACTTGATCCAGCTTAGACCTCCAAACTAACAGGGTGACATGGGCAATTTTCACAAACAAATCATAAAACTATATTTCAGTTAGCCGCCTTTAAAATAAATATACCGTTCTGGGTAAATTAGAATATTTATTAATTTTTGACTTAAATGATGATTTTATTATTAATGGAAATTAAGCTACTATATGAGATACATTTGCTGTGATTACGCTGTCCTACATGTTTTGCGTAAGTCTACATTTTGCTGTACGTGCTTGTAATTTTTTAAAAATCTGTGCGTACAATTTTTGCAGGTCTGGTTACGCCCCTGTTATGTGATGAGAGTCTAAATTTGGCAATTACTTCCTTAGCTTATTTAAATAGAATTGCAGTGTAAAATTTTCAACAAGATGTTGGCGAAATAGCCCTGTACTCTTTGTAGATATTTCCCCCGTCAAAGTTTGTCTAAAATTATCTTTCAATCTTTACTCTTTCAAAGACAGTATAAAGTTATCTGACATATTTTCGTGTAAATTTAATGACAAGCCAAGTGTCTCCAGTTCATTCCGTACTCAATTTTACCCAAGCAAATTTTTTTCTTTAGTAGATCTTTATAGCACGGTGTTATAAGCTTACAAATTTGCAAAAAGTTTTGCGTACAGACGCAGAATCTGCGTTTCAAGTTATAAAATGATAAATCTTTTAAATTATTTAATATTTCATATGAAATAATCTTCAGAAACAAATCCTCAAAGCATAAACGAATTAGGATTACGAACCATTTTATTACAGCAGTTCCCATTTTTTCTTTAATATAACGCTGGGCATACGCATGCTTCAAGATACCCTGAGAGCAATTTCTTTTATTAATGTTCGCGACCGTGTTAGAACTTAATTGTTTAAATATTGATATTTAACGTCATTTACAAATACCAATAAAATAACCCCATGAAATAAATGATATATATTGAAAAATATGAAAGCCCACCAAGACGGGTTTCATACCTGTTATTACCTGGCTTGGGAATTGCAGCGGTGCATAATTAACAGGCTTTATTGTTAACGAGCTCTTGGTCAACTACAATGCATTTAAAAATGCATCAGCAATTAGTAAGCTTGCCAACTGATGATAGTATCTAAAAGACTATCAGCTTTTGATATGATCTAAAACACCTGAGGTGACCGAGATCGCGAGCATCGCAACTATTGTCACCGAAGTTAGTAAGTTAGTCACGGAAGACCGTCACAGACAAAGAAAGATAGTCAAGGAGTGCTGCAATTTTGGTGAATCCCACAGCAACACACTGAGGCATAAAGAAAATTGCTCAACTCCGTTCAACACAACTTTCCAAAATTATTCTGTCTGTTTGCAGCATGCAGCTCAGTTAAGTCTCATTGACCTTTATCCTCATTGTCGTCACAGTACCACTTGACCCAGATCTGTTGCTTCGTTTATGCATATTGAGGTGAGGTTTACTAAAACACTTTTTTACTACTAATAGATTGTTTTTATCATTTTTAAATGACCATTGTCCTTTAATTTGGTGATAGAAGCTTGAAATATGTGTGAGTCAGACTCAGATATTTTACTTACATATGTATGATTGCTGAAAAAAAAGACCCTTTAAAGGCTTGAAAAGTGTTAGGTTCATGTGAGGTAATATGTCTTTGTTAGATAGCTTTGTGCATTCACAATAAAGCTTTCATACTAGGTAGAGCGACCCAAGACTGCAAGGACTCTTGCTTTGATGCAGTCAGGTAAACTGAATGGCTCCCCTTCTCTTGTTTCCAGTGTACTCATTTTATCACCAGGTTTTCTGTTTTCTACTCAATGTCAAGAGGAGTGTTCATCTTTTCATTTGATTGCATTCGGAACAAATCCCAGTGGAGTCATTGTGCACGCACCCTATGTTGTACTGTATGGCTATGCAGGCCCGTAGCCAGGGGTGTTCGGGGGGTTCGAAAGAACCGCCCCTTTTGTCAGGAAAAGGTCCATTTTGTGTAAAATTTTATATAGGTATACATACGTAAGTTTCATTGCAAAAGGTCCACTTTTTCAGAAAAAGAACCCCCCTTTTGAATTTGCTGGCTATGGGCCTGCTATAAAAGGAAAAGTGAACTTGTGTGAACTTTTGAGTCATGTTGGCTATTTTTATGTACAGACACAGATGTGTCTGTACATATTGCCATCACCTGCATCTGTCGTCGCCGTCGCCGGCACCGTGCACTTTCCTTGTAAACACGATAAGTGGAAGGCAGTTTTACTTTTTGGCTTTATATTTACAGAGCTGATGAATATTCATAAAACGCAGGTTAAGTTCGAAAATCAGCATGATCAGGCCATTATTGTAGAAGTTTTTTCACTTTTCAGCATATATGCAACACTGTAAACACATTTCAAGGAAAACCGATAGGCCTGTTGTCATGAAACTCACATGAGTAATTGATCTTACTAAAACGCAGGTCAAGTTCGAAAATCAGCATGATCGGGCCACTATTTTAGTAGTTGTACCACCAGCGTTAGCGCTGGCGGTACACATGGTTTTAGTCCCGTCCGGATCGTTCCGCCAGCTCCGCCGGCTCCTGCGGCTCCACTGGACGGCTA